TCAAACCAAGTGGAGGGATATCATGGAGAAGCAGCCATAAACACTTATCATGATTTTTCATCATATACATTGCCGATATCAATCAACATGACGTGGACAACAAGCTCTTCCGAAAGACTTCTTGAAGCAACTTGAAATCATACCAACTCATAGCTTAACATGACTTGCACATCCTTCAACAAAAGAGGTACCTTGCCACTACATACTTGACACATCATCAACGGACAAAGGCCATGACCAAACCAACACCACATAACAATTCATGGTTTAACAATATCTTTCAACATGCAAACACACACAATGGAGTAACTCATCACCGCATAACACTTTGTCGGGAGTAGGCGACCACCATGATATGAATGATTTAGATCATGGAGATATGCCATACGAATTCAAAGACATGAAACTCATCTATCAAAGATCACAGTTTATACTCATGCGCACCAGGAGTAACATGCAGTTTAGTCTCATGGTCATGGAGAATTTTAATTTGAGGACTTTAGATAGTTTATACTCATATCAAGGAGTCTATTAAATAGTTTAGACTCGTATTTAAGAGTTTTTTCTTTCTTGTAAACAGATTATGCTCATATTAAGGAGCCTTCATTTGATTTAATTTATAAACAGTTTATACTCATGTTAAGGAGCCTTCATATTTGACATGTGGACCTTTTATTCTCGTGTCAAGGAGATTTTGATTTGACTTGTAGATAGTTTATACTAATATCAAGGAGTTTTGTTAAATAGTTTAGACTCGTATTAAGGAGTATTTTTTTTTTTTTAACAATCTTCTTTCAAGAGCATGACTGAACTTAGAAATTTGTCTAAGCTGCCTACGTACCTTTTAAAAAGGATCAAGTCATAACGTAGTTCACAGTAACATAACATGAATTTGTTTATTGGGGGGGGGTGCCGTGCACAGTTTATACTCATGCGGGCCAGGAGTGACTATTCTTTAACTACTTTAGACAAAGTAGAGTATTAGGTTTAACCACATAACACCTTAGTGGTAGAATTAACAGTTTAACCACATATATTCCCATTGGTGGAGAATTTAGCAGTTTAATCACATGCAAAACTTTTTGGTGATTACCGTTCACAGTTTATACTCGTGCGGGTAGGGAGTTTTTTTTTTTACTTTTTTTTTTGATTTTTTTGATTTTTTTTTTCTTTTTGTTTCTATAAAGGTACATGCAGGTACATCATGCATAATAGCGTTTCAAGACTTCCCGTTGATAGGACCAACTACCAAATCATCTTCGGCTACCACCTTGTAGGCGCCATTGGTATAAACGTCCCTTGCAACATATGGACCATCCCACTTTGGTGTGAACTTGTTCCCAACTTGATGTGTCATCACAATTGGTCTTCTCACTGCAAGAACTAAATCTCCCACTTGAAAGGAGCGCGATCGAACTTTCTTGTTAAATGCCTTGGAGAGACGCGCTTGGTAACACTCTAGTCTTTGCTGAGCTTCCAGTCTTTTCTCATCGAGAGCCTCCAACTCCTCAAGGCGAAGGCGCGCATTTTCTTCTTCCGTGAAGGTGACTGCCGCATCGTTGACTTCATGGTCACATCGTTCTTTTTCATCAGTTGACTCCTCATCACTTAGTACATTACCTTGCTCGTTTGTCGCAGTACACGCAAAATTTTCAGATCCTTCCTTAGAGTTCATTATTGAAGCAAAGTTCGCATTCACTTTGTCTTCTTCGAGCGATATCTTACCTTGTCTCGCCAGTTGCATAACTCTATCTTTGAAGACAAAGCAATCTTCGATGGAGTGACTTACAAGACGATGATACTTGCAGTATTTTGGGTTGTCAACTTGTCCTGCTTCTTCAGGTCGTTTCATCTCCGGCAGTTCGATAAGTTGTTCCCGAATCAAGTCGTCAAAAATTCCAGAAACATCGGAGTCTAGAAAAGGATATTGTTTGGCTTGCATCTCCTTCAAGGTTAATTTTCTTTGCCCCCTATCTTGAGGGACTTCTTTCTTTTCCACAACTTTTTCACTTGTGTTTCCCTTGAGTTTGATGGGTCTTACATTGACCGCCATTGCTTCCTTTACCTCTACGTTAGGCGCTCTAGTGGAGAACTTGCCCCCTTTCTTGGCTTCACTTCGGTCCTCGAATCTTTGAGGCTCATGGACAGGTGGATTTTTTACCCCACTTGCAGACATGCTTAACTCCATATCATGTGCTCGAGTGGCTAGTTCTTCAAATGACTTTGATTGAATCCCTTGCAATATGTATCGGAGACCCCAGTGCATCCCTTGAGTACACATTTCAATAGCTGAAGCTTCAGACAGTCGATCCTTGCCATTGAGGCTTAGATTTCTCCATCTATTGATGTAGTCAATAACAGGCTCTTCCTTCCACTGCTTTGTATAGGTGAGCTCAATCATGCTGACCGTCCTTCGTGTGCTATAGAAGCGATTGAGAAACTCTTGCTCTAGTTGCTCCCAGCTATCAATAAAATTCGCCTCCAAGTCGGTGTACCACTCGAACGCATTTCCCTTCAATGATCGAACAAACTGCTTCACTAGACGATCTCTATACATTCCAGCATCGTTGCAAGTCTCAATGAAGTGAGCTATGTGTTGTTTCGGGCTGCCTTTACCATCAAACTGTTGGAATTTAGGCGGTTGATATCCAGTCGGCATCTTCAAGCTATCAATTCTTTGGGTGTACGACATTGAATAAGTCAAAGATGACTTGGAGCCTCCATCAAATTTGTCCTTGATGGTTCCCATGATGAATTCTTTGAGCTGGTCAGCTGGTATGAGTCCACTTGAAGAAACATGGATTTCTGACGAAGACTTCTCTTTTTCAGTTCGTTCACCTCATATTCTTTAGAAGTTTCTTCATCCTCATGTGTTTCATCTTGCTTGCCCCCAGCACGGCAATCTCAGCTTTGTCGACCCTTTCTAGCAACTTTAAGATTGTGGAGTCTTGATTTTGGACATGTTTCATCAGCGTCTCCATTGTTTTTGCCATGGCTGCAAGTTGCTCTTCAATGGTTGATGCATTTGTCATCATAACATGTGCCTCCATTGAGAAAAGTGTTGATGAAGCATCGTCTCTCAATTCTTCCTCTTGGTTCATCAAAGGCGGCCGATTTTCCTCAACTTGGTGAGAATTTCCTTCCAGAGATACACTCTTGTTCTTTGCCATGCTTCTTGTTACGACCCCAACACTTTCGCTTGCAGAACTTGAAGAAGTTGACTTGGGAGGAGTCATCGTTACACTTAGATATCTTGAAGAAAAGAGATGAAAGGTAGAGATGGTCCCACTGGGCGTGCCAGACATTTGTAGAGCAAATTTTCGTATTATTGAATTAATAAACACAAGAACTTCGTACAAATCGATTTTCAACGAATCAAATGAAATATAGTGGATTATAAATCTATATTATTCCTCTGATTAATTTCTTCAAGAACAATCTTCAAATGGATATGAGACTTTTGGAGATGAATCTTCAGTTTGATCTCCGCCTGTCTTGAATATGAATTTAGATAACGTTTCTTCGAGGGCTTGACAGCTTGATCTCAAATCGAACGTTGTGATTTCCCAAAACGTGAAGAACACGAGTCCTTGGTCTTCGCCGCAAAGTTGATTTTGATCTTCTTTACGTCGGTCTTGACTTCAATAACGTAATTCGGAGGCTTAGCAGCTTGTTTCTGAACTGAACGTCAGTTTTGGGCTTGAACGCTCTTGAATCTTCCTTCAGGTCTTCAAGAACGCCTTTGGATCTTCAAAACACTTGAACTTGAATAACGCAATTCGGAGGCTTGGCAGCTTGTTTCCGGATTGAACGTCAGTCTTGGACTTGAACGCTCTTGAATCTTCCTTCGGATCTTCAAGAACGCCTTTGGATCTTCAAAAACACTTGAATTTCGTTGAGAGAATTCTGTAGAGCTCTTGGAACTTGAAACTTGAATATGAATTGTGTTCTTTTCACCATAGGGAGAGTCCCTATTTATAGGTGTTGGGAGAGAGAGTCTTGGAAAAGAAAACTTCAATTTGATTGGTCCATAATTTCCAATATTTATCTCTTAATAATTATTTAAAGAGATAATTAGGAGATAGAGTCTTGAAAAAGAAGACTTCAATCTAATTGGTCCATGAATTTCCATTTATTTATCTCTTTAATAATTATTAAAAGAAATAAATATTTATTTTACTCTTCAAGAAAATGACATGTGTCATTCTTTAATTGGCCAACAATATATATTAAATAATCAATTAATTAACTATTTAATTTAGGAATTTGATTACTTTCCCAAACAAAATAGAAATTATTAAATTGACTTTGACATGTAATTTGACATTTGTCGCCATTTTATTGGCTCAAAATTTAGGTGTCTACAGTGAGGTTAAATTAAAGTTGAGTTAAATTTGAGTTTTGATTTTTTTTT